TCAAGGCTTTTCTCTGTATTGGTTTCTCTGATTAGATTGGTCTGTTCACTGAGGCCACTTGACGGATAGCTCACCAACTCTCCAGCACAATCACTATAACAAAACACAGTGCTCTGAAACTGTGACTACAACATCATCTTTCCAACTGGCCTCCTAATCCCAAACTGTGCTTCAAAGCAGCTGCTGTGCCTCTGCTGGTACCAGCTGCACATCTTCATGTCACTGAATGAAACCTATCCTTTGCTGCTTGTATGTGAACTCACTTTAGAAGGGCGAAGGTTGGTATGAGAAGAAATGTGTTTGACATTTTCCAAAGGTCCATTAAGTGTGACTGTGAAGATGCTCTGAAAAAGGTCAAACTATTTTTGGGGCAACAAGCAAGACATGGTCACACTTAGAAGCAAATGTATGTACGAACAGCTCTACAGAGCATCTCCTAGCCTTCTATGAGTCATGCAACATGAATGCATAGCTAATGTTCTGGGGAGGTTTTAGGACACCATATATCTAAGTCCTAAAGATGCCTCTGGAAGATAATATACTCATGGAGTTCATTCATGTATGGATGTTTTAATGTAAGTGTGAGTCCTTGCATCTAATGCTGCTGATTTGCCTTGTTGGTTAGCCTATGCATTAAGAGACCATAGTGTTGTGATCACATATGTATAATATTAATCCTACTTATCCCAGGCTACCCACAGTGTTTGGCCCTTTGCAAAAGTCTTGGTCATAACCCTGTCGTGCTTTATCCCCATAATAATCTCACACCGAAAGAAGGACTCACCCACATTCCACTCATTCCTGGCTGTTAAAAATAAGACCTCTGTAAACCTAAAGTAGAGGCCAGCTTTCCTAAATAGAGTCATCACCGGAAGGTTGGAAATGAACAACAAATGTGAAGTTTTCCCCTGTGTCATTTCACAGAAAATACAGCACCTAATGGGCAGCAAGCAATAAAAAATGTTTTCAGACCCTGGCTTTGCTATCTATAGTGCAGCTTTAGTCGTCACAGCCTCTTTCATCTCCTCTAACAAGTGACAGAACCTCAGAAAATCATGACAATCAGTCAAACAACTACAGTATGACAACCTAACAGGATAGTTTTAAGACCTTCAATAATTTCAGAATATGCCGCATTAGTACAATGTGAATACATAATCTTCCCGCTTCTTTCATTATTTTATTCACACATTGCATAGAATTACACTGAATGTGAGTCATTGTCTATTGTAGCTGTCTTTGTTAACACTGAATCTCTCAACTCAAATACCTTCCATCTATTTGAGCAAAGTCATTTGAAGCGCATCAAGATTTCACCAGGGGCAAAATGGGAACATATAGTTCAAGGTGAAAAACAGCCACTCGACTTTGCAGCATTGAGGTAAAGGGCACTTGACAGCTGCTGTGTCTGCTGAGAGACTTGAATAAATGAAGAGGCACTGTGTCTATGGCTATCATTCGGAGAGTTCTACTGGATATTTTTCTCTTTTTCTATTCATATTACTGGGTATGAGCCTGTACCTTCCTTCTTGCCATCGTAAGGGAACATTGTGGGTCCTGGTGGACTGGTGGTGAATGTCTGGAAAGTTTGTAATCTTGCTGTTGCCAAAAACTGACCCAAGATGGAAACACTTTCCTCGTTCCTTTCCAGAAGAACATTCTTTAGCAGCCACTTCACCTCAACAACTGATCCCACTCCAACCACCAGAAACAGACAGCCAGGATCCCCACCACAGCACACACACATGCAAATCCAAATGCTAGGCATGAACATATTGTTGGCATACTGCAATATATGGCAAAGCTGCACTGTTAATGAAACATGCCATCAAGCCCAACACCACTGCTACTGGACATTTAGCATAACTTTGTTATATAATTTTGATATAGCATATCATCATGATCAATGGAATGCATGGATTTTTTTAATTTCAAGGGAAG